CATATCTCAATAATCGATTAATAGAAACATTATTTTATGTGCCTTGACCCTTCAGAATGTAGGCGGTCATGACTCTCTACAAGTTCATTTCACTTGTTTTCCCCACTATGTCACCCATTCACACAGACTCTTTAGCATGTTACTCGTTGTTTTTCTCTTCTCTTCTCTTGTCGCCTGTAATCCGCCATTTGAGTACCATATTTAACAAGCTCTCTTTTACTCACTATGTACCCTAGAAATTTCGTCTGTCACTTCCTTGTGTTAAGTATGTGTCGTTTTGGTTTCCTTTTTATCTAAAACTTTCTCGTTTATCACATGCTGTCCAGTGCATTCTCAGCAACCTTCTGTAGAACCACATTTCTATTGCCTCAAGTATCGTCTTTATCTGTGCGGAAATTGTCCATCATTGGCTACCATATAAAAGAGTTGATATTACCTAGCGTTGGCGATAATGGCTTTCCACAATTTCCCGTCCTTTATTGCTCTTAGTAATCTTTTTTATTTTTTTGTGTCTAGCTAATATCAACTGAAAAATGACTTGCTTCATGGTATCCTTCTTCTTTTATATACCAACTAGCAGTAGTGCCCGGCGTTGCCCGGGGATATAACAGTTAAGAGATAGATCAAGTATCCACCATCATAAAGACTGAAAAATAAAATTGACAAAGATTATTGTTTAAGGTTGACGGTCACGCATGTCTTAATTATTTTTTTTTTAGGAATTGGTCAAACCCAAACTCAAACAAAAACATTGTTTTCAATCGTTATGAGTCTCCCAACTGAATAGAATTTTATTATAAATAATTGTCTTGTAAATGGAATTTTTAAAGCATTCTGAATGTTAAAAATAAAGAAAAAGTGTGCAAGAGAATAAGAAACACTACCTGCAAAAAAAAAAAAAAAGAAAAAAGGGAAGTTTTGTTTTATCGGCTGAAAAATATAGGAAATCCGCTCCCATATTTAAAGGAACCCACACACACACAAACAACCCGATGTGAGTTGTCCCCCTTCCATTTTCACGATGTCTCTTAATCGTGTTTTCAAACTGATTTTGTGCAAAAACAATTATATTTTTCACATTTTTGGCGCTTTTAGAACCACCACAAGGTAATTTTATGTAGTCCTGTGAAGTTTTGTTGAAATCGATTGAAAAATGTAGGAAATCCGATCCAATATATAAACGTTACAGACACACACCCACACCCACACACACACACACACAATCTGCATTTTATAATAAGTAAGATGTACCTTTAGAACGTTGGCGATCATGGCCCTCCACAATTTACCGCTCTTTAGTATTTTTTTTTGTTTTTTTTTTTTGTATCCCTCGATACCCTGTTCTACCATCCATTTACACCAGATCGTTTTCTTACACAATTTTTCTACTTAAAACTTTGATTAGCTTTTGGACGGCATATTTAACTATTCCAATACAACTTCGGATTTCGGTGTCAATCTTTACATCATCTGTTATAACATCTGCAAGATTTCTGTACTTTCTTGATTGTTTTCGTTCCAATGTTCTTTAAAACTTCCCCATTACTCACATACCCAGTTCATAGTGGATTTTCCCATATAAAGTGTGTTTCATTAAGACGGATTATATATAAGGGTGTTTCATTAAGACGGATCAAAGTCTGCAGTAAATAAATTAGTGTTATTGGTAAAAATTTATTTATTTCTCTATTGGATCATATTTGCCCGTAGCTGGCACCCTAGCAGGTGCTACAACCATGGGTGAGGGTAGACTTGGGTACAACAGCAATTAAGAGGTGATTCCTTGGCTCCTCAAAACCTTCAATCTTCCGATCAGAGGTCATGCTGCCGGATGTAGTTTATCGTCATACTCAGGACTAAACAACAATAATAATAATAATAATAATAAGAAGAAGAAGAAGAAGAAGAAGAAGTAAATTTTTTGTCATGGCAATTATGTGTGAAAACTCATATCGCCCAAATGGCCGCCAAATCTGATAGAAAAAGAAAAAAATCATTAGACGCTTAAATTTAATTCACATTAAAACTGGTCCAAGTTATTGGAGCACCCTTTATAAGTGGATAAATAACATGAAAAAAATATACATATACGTGGATAAATTAAGCATGAGTGGCAAAAATTAGGTAGTCACGTGACATTACAGTAGTGACGTGAGAGTACAGTAGTCACGTGATATTATCGAATATAAGCAGCTTCAAATTAAACAAAATAAAACACACTTCGTATTTCAACAGGAGAATGGACAATGCTTAGAAGTAAGGTAGAAATTGATTTCGACTACTTTGTGTGTGCGATAAGATTAAGGAGAAACCTTACTCTTGTTACACACACACGCGCAGACACGTCGCACGAAGATTGAGACATTTTTGATGTCAGTGATACTAAAACATAGTCTCTATAGTCATGCTTTATTTTTTGTGGTCTTCCCTTTGTATTTCTTTGAATAGGATTACACGAAGTGCGCAACTGAAATACATCGTAACATTAAAACATCTTGGTGGGTAATTAAAATTCCCCACAATGGTATTCTCATCATCTGCCTGTAGAACCACGTATCTATCGCTTCACTTTTCATTTATAAGGAAATTGTCCTGCATTCATTGTTATGCCTGAGAATAGATATGGTATAGCAGTTCGGCAATCTTTTTCTTTGTCTCTAACGAAATATACTTCTTTATCAATAAATTGCATAGTTTATGGAAGGCGTTATTCTCTTAACTCTATAAGTTAAGCAACAGGGTAGACTGAGCTCTATAGCCGCCATTGGTAACCGGTCTATAAGAAGGAAAGCTCTGAATTTAAAACCGGTTGGGCGTTGGGATGACACCTAACCTTCCGTAAAATCAAGTTACTATAGAAATCACATCAGCAACACCTTGCCTGGTGAGACTGTGGCCTTATACTTTTTATAAGAGAAAAGTACTACGGAAGAGGAGTGGCGAGAACCGTTACGATACTCCCTTTGTAGTTAACTGCTTGATCCTGATCTCCGATGTAAAGCTGTTTTTTAAAACCCTTTCACTCCAACCAAGGTGCTAAAGCCGCTAAGACGCAAGGGTTTACTGAGAGTGAAGAACACTGCGGAAAACGTTGATGCTGTGAATAGACAATAAGAAGAGTATTCAGGGAAACAGAAGCTGACAACTGACATTGTATTTAAATTTTTGAAGATCGTAGTTGACAAGGAAAGCAAGAAGATAGAAAAGTGTTCCACATGCGAGAAGTGTGAAAAGAGAAACCACTAGAATAAAACTTATGCTTGCACTTAGCAATTTCAACCGGAAAATGATGAGACCTAATTGCCAATCTAGTACTGCGCTTAAATTCATAAAGTCGGGTTACCAAAAAGAATAATGTCAAGATACAAAAGTGTGGCACAAGGCCGAAAGGGGGAATGAGGAAGGCTGATCTTCTTCTGTCTTATACTTGAGCTAGCCACAATTACTGACCCAAACATGGAACAGTAATCCTTGCACCAAAACAGCACATTCTTACTTGACATTCTTACTACAATCACCATAATACCTCAGGTCTCTATGAGGTATTAAACTAGTTAAATGTAAAATTTTTGTCTCGCGGAAGGTGGTAATAACAACAACAATTTTAAAAAATCTAATCCCAATGGGTGTTTGTAATGTATTTTAATATATATTTACAAGAAGCTAAACAAAATAGTGTTAATAATACACCCCCCATACGCACATACAGTCCTTGATTTTGACAGAGATTTCAGTTCCAAAAAGTAGAGTTCATCAAAACAATAGCCATGTAAATATTTACAGAAATGGCACAAAGAATCTAAGTTACACCGGTGGGAAAGTAATCGAATCCGTGCTGTCAGGTCAGGACTGATAACATTGCAGATTCTTCTTTAAATTTTTTAAGGGGTTTAAAATTAGTTCACACAAGTGGAGTTCGGGCTAAAATTTTGTTCTATTTATAATTTAAACGCTCGTATTTTTTTTTTGTTCTTGTTGCTTTATTTGTGAACGTTATTATGAAGAAAATTAAAAATTGATGCCTCTACTTGACTTTTAAGTTTAACGCTTTATAGCCCTGCTTTTTCGAAGTGTCGTTCATTAATATTCATTCCGTATACTGACATCTGAAAACTGCTGTTTTAAAATGTAGTTCTCTCAAAGTCAAATCATTTCTTCACTTTGAAGAGTAAAGTGAACATAAAATTCGAATCTTTCGTGCATTTGTATTTAACTAAATTATTAGATATTTAGAGGATCGCAAACGATGTCTTGATTATATTTGCTTTGCTTTGTTTTCGTTTCACAATGATATCGCTGTGTGTTTTCCCTCCACTTCTCGTTAAAACGTGATTATTGCGAAATCAAACGGCAACAGAAGCAAAGCGTCGATAAATACTCCGATTGTTATATTACGCTCGAACATGAAAACGAGAATGACGTCTGCAGTTAGTGGGGGGGAGGCAATAAAGAGCGGGAAGTGAGAGAAAATAAAGAAAAAAAGAAGGGCTGAGAGAAGATAAAAAAAAGAGAAGTTAAGGCAGTAAAGTTGAAGACAGAAGAGAAAAAGTGATAAAGAAAGACAGAGAGGGAAAATATAACAAAAAAGAGTAATAAAGAAGTTCGATAAAAGAGGCTGGTTGAAGAATACAGAGAGATAAATTTTAGAGACAGTAGGCCAAAGAGAGGGGGTGTGAAATAAAGGGAGAGAAGATTTAGAGAAATCAGAAAAAAGAAGGAGGGTGAGAAATACAGCGAGAGAAGATTTAGAGACAGTAGGCCAAAGAGAGAGGGTGTGAAATAAAGGGAGAGAAGATTTAGAGAAATCAGAAAAAAGAAGGAGGGTGAGAAATACAGCGAGAGAAGATTTAGAGACAGTAGGCCAAAGAGAGAGGGTGTGAAATAAAGGGAGAGAGGATTTAGAGGAAGCAGAAAAAAGAGGGAGGGTGAGAAATACAGCGAGAGAAGAGTTAGATATAGTAGGCCAAAGAGAGAGGGTGTGAATTAAAGGGAGATAGTATTTAGAGGAAGCAGAAAAAAAGAAGGAGGGTGAGAAATACAGCGAGAGAAGATTTAGAGGAAGTAGAAAAAAGGGAGGGTGAGAAATACAGGAAGAGAATATTTAGAGACAATAGATCAAAGAGAGAGTGAGGAATACAGGGAGAAAAAATTTCAAAAAGCAGACTGAAGTAATGGAAGTGGGGAATACAAGGAGAGACGAATTCGAAAAAGCTCATATAAGAATGTGAGTGAAAAATATCGGAAGATAATTTTTGGAGAAAGTAAACCAAAGAGACAGTGAAAGAGAGAGAGAGAGAGAGAGAGAGAGAGAGGGGAAGATTATTACAGTGAGAGAAGGTTCATGGGAAGCACAGAAAAGTACAAGAAAAAGCAATACAGGAAAAGAAAATTTAGAGGAAACAGGCAAAAGAGGCTGAGATATATGGGAGGAATATCAAAAAGCGGAAGAAAGATGTGGCGCGAGAAATACAAGAGGAGCTCTTATATAGAAAATCGCATGAGAATAACAAATCATTTCTCTGTTCATACGTTTGCGTGTGTGCATGTATATTCTAATTCAATGGCAGGCCTACAAATATTTGTACAAGATTCTCTTAAAAAAAAAAAAAAAAAAAAAAAGAAGCTTTAAAAAATAATTCCATTTATTAACGAATATTTTTTCGTAAATTTCAATGAAATTTATAATTGTAATCTGATATGTCGAAGGTTTTTTTCCAGGTTCATTTTTTTCTTGCCTCCATATTTATAATTTTATTGCTCAGGTCAGGGTAGGAGTTGTCCAGACTGAGTGGGAAGAGAATGTCTTCTTGCAAAATTAGTCAAATTGTGTGTGTGGGTGCGCGCGAATGTAGTTGCGTTTACAATAAATGGAAAAAAATAAACACATGTAAGTCACCCACGCACAATACAGATATACGCATACTGTATCAGATACGCGAGAAATACAAGAGGGGATCAAATACAGAAAGAAGTCAAAGGAGAATAGCAAATCTTTTCTCTGTTCACTATCATCAAACTTGGGCAACGTGTGCAAAAGTTCTCCCCGCCACCAATAAATATAAGTACAACCGCATAGTCACCGCTTTCCCGGCAGAAAGTTCACTATTTCTTGGCGATGCATTGAAAGGAACGGATCTATGAGAGATAACGTGAAACAAATATGAAGGAAAGGCAATAACAGCTGGGATAGGGTGAAAGAGGACTACGAAAGCGAGAATCCGCAAAAGTGTTGTTTAAGACGGTTATTGTGTCTACTGGGTGAGTAGAAAGAAAGTGGGAGCGATATTTTTTTCGCCCTTTCTTTTGTAGCATGTAATGATAGATTCATAAATATCTTAACAAGCTCTGTTCATGCAAAGCCTATTAGACCGAAAGAAATGTCATTCCCGAAGTGACCAGGGCACAGCGGACTTAAGGTATTATTGTACGCGGACGATAGATTAATGCAAACGGGCTGTCAGACAAAATACAATGAGATCACAAGCAAATAGATAGATAGATAGATATAGATAGATAGATAGATAGATAGATAGATAGATAGATAAACATGGAAAGAAAAAACAACAAAGAAACAGTATATAAGAACTTGAGGATGGGTAAAGAAAGAAAGAAAGAAAGAAAGAAAGAAAGAAAGAATGATAAAATATTTAAAGAATCAGATAGATAGATAGATAGATAGATAGATAGATAGATAGATAGATAGATAAACATGGAACGAAAAAACAACAAAGAAACAGCATGTAAGAACTTGAGGAGGGGTAAAGAAAGAAAGAAAGAAAGAAAGAAAGAAAGAAAGAAAGAAAGAAAGAATGATAAAATATTTAAAGAATCAGATAGATAGATAGATAGATAGATAGATAGATAGATAGATAAACATGGAAAGAAAAAACAACAAAAAACAGTATATAAGAAGTTGAAGAGGGGTAAAGAAAGAAAGAAAGAAAGATAGATAGAATATTTAAAGAATTAGATAGATAGATAGATAGATAGATAGATAGATAGATAGATAGATAGATAAACATGGAAAGAAAAACAACAAAGAAACAGTATATAAGAAGTTGAAGAGGGGTAAAGAAAGAAAGAAAGAAAGAAAGAAAGTAAGAAAGAAAGATAGAATATTTAAAGAATTAGATAGATAGATAGATAGATAGATAGATAGATAGATAGATAGATAGATAGATAGATAAACATGGAAAGAAAAAACAACAAAGAAACAGTATATAAGAACTTGAGGAGGGGTAAAGAAAGAAAGAAAGAAAGAAAGAAAGAAAGAATGATAAAATATTTAAAGAATCAGATAGATAGATAGATAGATAGATAGATAGATAGATAGATAGATAGATAGATAAACATGGAAAGAAAAAACAACAAAGAAACAATATATAAGGACTTGAGGAGGGGTAAAGAAAGAAATAAAGAAAGAAAGAAAGAAAGAAAGAAAAAAGAAAGAAAGAAAGAAAGAAAGAAAGAAAAAGAAAGAAAGAAAGAAAGAATCGGATTGATAGATAGATAGATAGATAGATAGATAGATAGATAGATAGATAGATAGAAAAAAAGTAAATGAATATAATAAAAAAGAAAGAAAGAAAGAAAGAAAGAAAGAAAGATAAATAATGAATCTACTGAGATAGATACCTAGTTAGATAGATAAAAAAAACTAGCAGAACAAATAAACAAAGAAAGACAGATATATAATGAGCGGACTGGGATAGATAGATAGATAGATAGATAGATAGATAGATAGATAGATAGATCTGGAAGAAAAACAAAGAAACAATATACAAGGACTTGGGGGTAAAGAAAGAAAGAAAGAAAGAAAGAAAGAAAGAAAGAAAGAAAGAAAGAAAGAAAGAAAGAATGAAAGTAAGAAAGAAAATTCTAGGACTGAGATAGATAGATAGATAGATAGATAGATAGATAGATAGATAGATAGATAGATAATGTATGACCTGAGATTCTTTTAATCGAATTGTTCAAGTTTCGGTAAGAAGTGTACTTTTATTTTTTCTTTCTTTCTTTCTTTCTTTCTTTCTTTCTTTCTTTCTTTCTATTTGTCATCTATGAGCGTATAGTCTCATTGCTTTCCTCCCGCGCGAAACGTTTACCAACAAGCAATTGCAACTAATCCCGTGCCAAACGAACGTCAAGTATCGTTGTCTTTCGTGGCTTCCCGTAATAAGTAATCATTTCAAATCTCATTCACCGTCTTTTCTTGCAATAGGTCGTTTGAAACAACCATTGAAGCGTTTTGCCAGCAGCTCGGGTCATGTGATTTTCTCGCACATCTCACTTTATACAATTTCTCACTTTGTTATCTTGGTCAATCATTTCCCGCATTGTATAGATCACTTTTCAATGACTTACATGATACTCATGATGGATGATAAACGTAACTCACCCAGTGAAAAGTTAATACTATGAAATCCTCAGCCGGCATCTTGGATATGTGTCTCGCAGTTTTCGGTGTCTTATTTTCTATCAATGGGTCGTCGGGAAGCCAATCTGGCGAGCAGGAGAATGCGACCATCAAATGATGGTCTTAAAGCGCGTATTATATCTGTCTATGTTTCTGATATGAGGTATTGTCACTATTTACAATTTTTAGATTGTTCGGACTGTTGTCTTCATCTGTATTGTTATATTTACGACGTTTCGAACGTTGCATGCTCTGGCCTTCTTCTGGATCTGTCTATATTTCTGAGATGAGGTATTGTAACTACCCTATTTAGATTGTTCCGGGTGTTGTCCTCATCTTTATTGCCATATTCACGACGTTTTGACCGTTGCACATTCTGCCCTTCTCTGGGATCTGTCTATATTTCTGATATGAGGTATTGTAGCTATTTAAACTATTTACATTGTTCCGACTGTTGTCCTCATCTTTATTGCCATATTCACGACGTTTCGACCATGGTACGATCTGGCCTTCTTAAGGGTCTGTCTATATTTCTGAGATGAGGTATTGTAATTATTTACACTATTTATATTGTTCCGACTGTTGTCCTCATCTTTATTGCCATATTCACGACGTTTCGACCATTGTACGATCTGGCATTCTTAAGGGTCTGTCTATATTTCTGAGATGAGGTATTGTAATTATTTACACTATTTATATTGTTCCGACTGTTGTCCTCATCTTTATTGCCATATTCACGACGTTTCGACCATGGTACGATCTGGCCTTCTTAAGGGTCTGTCTATATTTCTGAGATGAGGTATTGTAATTATTTACACTATTTATATTGTTCCGACTGTTGTCCTCATCTTTATTGCCATATTCACGACGTTTCGACCATGGTACGATCTGGCCTTCTTAAGGGTCTGTCTATATTTCTGAGATGAGGTATTGTAATTATTTACACTATTTATATTGTTCCGACTGTTGTCCTCATCTTTATTGCCATATTCACGACGTTTTGCTCGTTGTACGCTCCGGCCTTCTTCCGGATCTGTCTGTATTTCTGAGATGAGGTATTGTAGTTATTTACACTATTTACATTGTTCCGCCTGTTGTCCTCATCTTTATCCCCATATTCAAGACGTTTCGACCGTTGTACACTTCTTCAGATGATATTAGTTTGAATTTCGAACCGATCCATTTATCTAGTCCACGAGGGTAGCTTGTTCTAATTCCACGAGCCATACCTTTGAATATCTTAGTTTCATTTAATCCCCCCCCCTTGGTAACTCAACTCTCCAAACAGTTATTGAACTCATAACCCTTTGGGTCAAGTCACTTTCAGCCAACGATTTTATCCACATCATTGAGTGATTTTTTTTGGACTTATAAACTTATATAATGTCCCAGTCAACTTTTTTTACGTTTTTTATATATATATATATATATATATATATATATATATATATATATATATATAGAAAATACCAATTGGTAATGGGTAGGGATAATTCCAAGAAGAACATTAATTCAAAGAAAGCTCAATGTAGGTAACAGAGCAATATATTAACAATAAGTGAAGAAAATCCTTAAAAATCCATGTCGGTTATAATTTATTTCATGAATATATTTATATATTCATCTCTTCGGACTAAATTTTTTTTTTTTTTTAGAAATGGAATCAATCCATCCAGACAGACAGAAAAAAAGAAAGAGGAGAAAAAAAAAGGAAGAGGAGAAAAAAGGAAATGGAAAGAGTTTTTATAATAAAAAAGAAGAAAAAAAAAACTTCAATATAATTTTTTTTTAAAGTTTACGAAGAAAAAGAGAGAGAGAGAGTGTGTGAAGAGAGAGAGGGAGAGAGAGAGAAAGAAAAGAAAGAAACGAAAGAAGAAATAAAAAAATGAGTCAATAGAATGACCTAGAAAAAAACTTTCCTTAAAGGGCTGAACAAGTTGATATACTGTGTAAGGGAGGGAGTGATCAGAATTAAAAGATTTACAGTGAGTAATATGTCTAATAGTCAGGTCATTTTAGCCAGCAAATCTCATCATCGCATTATAATAATGATCATAATTCTAAATTTATAATAATAATAATAATATCCAACATCAAATAAATGCAATTAATTAAACAAAATAATATAAATAAAATAAATAATATAAAAACTAAATAAAATAAATAAATCAAGAGATAATTATAAAGAACAAATTTAGAATATGAAAAAACTATAGATAAGGATAAAAATAATAAAGATAATACTAGCAATATAAAAATATAAATTAATTAATAATTTAAAATTATAAATAATGTAGACAAGACAATCACATAACTAACCATATATAAAAATGGGAATACCCCTACGCATATATGTTATTACCTATATAAAAAAAAGAATCAACAATTTAAGTGTATATCCCCCAAAGTCAATGATTTTAGGGAATTTTAAATTTGTTCTTGTGTCTACGATTGTAAATAAGTTCGCTTCTTTGATTCAATAATTGGTCATCATTTTTATATTTAATTAATCTTCTCTCGTATGCATAGACTGAATTTGTCCCGGAAGTTGTTCGGAGTCTGAGACTGACAGATGATATCCCATTTATATATTTAATCATTTCACCCCAAATAAGGACATAGTGCCACTAAGGCGTAAGAGTGGAAGAGACATAAGTGAGGCGAAACGACAATAAAAGAACTGAACGTTCGATTAATCATCCAAAAAGTTATTGAAATTAAGAAAGAAATATTATATATTCTGAAGATTCTTATGTGATGACTAACTTTAACAATTTACAATTTAGTGAGACGTTTATTTGAAGTTGCATGGAAATAAATGTAATGCACAATTGGAAAATATTTTTTCACATGGATAAATATATTCTTCATAATACTGGATAAGGATAACAAGATAGGACTTTTTATCTTCAGTAATATATATATATATATATATATATATATATATATATATATATATATATATATATGCAAAACTAGGTAATCCGTATGGGTAGACCCAAGGAGGATGATATCCGGAGAGCTCAATGTAAATGTTATTTTAAATTGATAATTTAATTTAAATTGAAATATATTACCCTTTAATAACCATTATTGATGATAAAATTATTTAAATTGGAATAACCTTTGATAATTATGTAGGTATGTAAAAACAGTCACGAGTTTAATTTATGAACAAAACTCAAACGAATAGATGTCAACTTAATAACCACCAAGAAAAAAGTTTAGGAAAATAAAAAAAAGATTACTAGATGTAAAATGAATTATTTTTTCAATGTACTTTTTGAATTTTTTTCCAATCGAATATTCCATAGAAAATACCCAAAACTCCAATAAACATCAAATTAAATTCTTCGTAGATTTTGTAGACATTTAGATTTATATCAAACTTTAACCCCAAATATACCCTTTAAAAGTAATGCGAAATAACAGCGTCCAAGAAATTGAGTGAAACCTTCTCTCATGATCAGGATTTATTTTATTGTATCTTCTTCATGTCGGTTTTTCTTCTTCACCTATCCATATCTAAAGATAACATACGTTAAGTTAAGCGATGTCTGGCCCACACCAAGTGGGGTTAGGGATAAAGAATTGAAATGGTACATCTAACTCACTCATGTCTTCTCTCCCCCACCTCACTTCCTCAATTTACATATGCTTAATACGGCCCGTCAAAAAATGTGTAAATTTCTTTTCATTTTCATTTCAACCTTTGGAAGTAAAGTCTGATGATCCAGAGCCCTTTAAAAGGGCTGTGGTGAAATAATTTATTACCTGGAACCTTAAAGTGGTCTGTTTTTTATTCAAAATATATATATATATATATATACATTTGTATGTGCATGTTTTACAGTATTTGATGGTATACGTAACGAAGCTTCCCGGAGCCGCTTTTATAAATATTTTCATGGTAATTTTTCTGATGAGATTTCTTTTTTTGGTAGATGGTTCGTACATGTGCGGAAAGTGCTTCGCCCTCGAGACCAGCTCTGTCTGTAGCAATGTGGTACCGCCGTTAGCCAAGACTGAGCATGATATGTTCTTTTGCTAACTATGTGTTATGCAAGTCGTGATATGGACGACACGACAGAAGGAATTCTATGGGGGATATGATGTTCACCTCTTCGCAACATCTCTGTCACCTAACAGGGGAGGGGAATTAAACTAAAGAAAGTGGGGAAAGAAACAAAAGAGGCCTAAGAGCATACATCCCCTAAGTTAACGTTGAAAGAATAAACTAAAGACAAAACAACCCTAAACTGCCCTAATTCTGGACTGGACTGCCAGTGTTCTACACGGTGAGAGAGCAATCTCTTAACGCCTAATCGGCATCTCCAAGTCAGCACCTCTCACCCACAATAAACGCGCTAGACTTTTGCTAAATTCTGATAGAATGAGCTGCCGCCTTACCGTTCTAATCTTGACTTTAATCTGATGTTTAATGTGCAGGATCAGTTGCGAAGAGGTGAACATCTTATCCCCCATAGAATTCCTTTAGTGACAGTTCCATACCTGGTTAAGGCGGTGGAGAACTTGGAGAGGTGAATTAACAGGAGATAACTGATAACTGACATCCATTAAAACGTGGAACTAGAACAGTCTACCCCAGTGAGCGAAATAAAGGGTTCAGTTCGACATTCCAACCACCTGAAGAAGGCCGGAGCGTACAACAGTCAAAACGTTGTGATAAATATGGCAACAAAGATGAGGACGATATTTAAATAGTGTACATAATATCTCATCTCAGAAATATAAACAGATTATTTGAAAACCTCACTTTCTCAACATTTGCCCCTATCATTGGTATGCTCATCAGCGTTTTTTGTCATAGCGAAATATTGACGAGAAACAATTTGAAATAAGCTTCGAACAAGCATCATTCGAGACGACTGAAGAATCTGTAGCCCTCTGCTATTTGGATTGAGTTCTGAAAAAAAGTAAATGCGTTGTCTGGAATTTGAATGGCCTTTGATCTCTAATCGGATATTGTCTTGAACGGACTTTCTCCTAAGTAGTTCGGAAATGCAGTCGAAGGAATATTGACGTCTATAGATTATTGGAGGATTATCTTAATCTTCGGATGCGATTTATTTTTTCACAAACGTAATTTC